GAAGACGGCCCTGGGCTAACATCTGTGCCCATCTTCCTCCACTTTATATGGGACGCCGCCACAGCATGGCTTGCCAAGCAGTGCGTCGGTGCGCGCGCGGGATCCGAACCAGCGAACCCCGGGCCGCCGCAGCGGAGCGCGCGCACTTAACCGCTTGCGCCACCGGGCCGGCCCCAGGCTGAGCCAGTTTTATGCAAACATCAGCAACCTATGAGAATATCTCTAGACTCTCAGTACAACAATGCTAAGTAGGTCATTTAAAGGGGAAAAAAACACTGTCATTTATTTCTACTATTTGTCAAATATTTGACAAATGTTTGTCAAATAATACGTCAAATATTTCTAATATTTATGTTTACATGTGGTGACGTATTTTTAGTCAATGTTCTAGCATAACTGTCTAAATCAGGAATCAGCAGCAATTCCAGGCACAGGTTTAGGAGATGGGCCCAGAAGGTACGCTGCCCCCTGTCCTGGGGGTTAGGGAAGAGCCGTGGTAGGAACCTGGAAGATACTCAGGTCTTCTTCCCAACTCAGCCTGGCCCTGGAACTTAATGGATATTGCTCAAACTTAGCTACAACCCAAATTCTCAATCTTCTCCTCTCTTGACAGTGTGAGAGGACATGAGCCAGGGAACAGACAATAGTTCCAGGTACTTAGACTTTTCAAGACCTCAAACATCTTTAGTATCTCCCTACATTCTAGGAAGAAAAGAAAATTTGAAATCCATTTTAATTGAATATTAAGTGAATTGGGAAATTTCTAGTGAATTTAGAGAAAGACAGACCCCCATATCCAGCAGGTAGCTTCTGCTTTCCAGGGGGGAGGTACCTAAACTTGATAAAGTGGGATATTCTGCACCGGCCTTCAGCTCTGACCTGTCACACATGCCAATCCTCAGAGACATCATGAATCTTTCTGTCTCACTCCCAGAAAGCAGCCATTCAGGGAATCTGCTCAGAGGCCAGGGCGCTGGTTAGTTCAGGTCTAAGTAGACCAGTTACCTTCTTCAGAGTTGTCTCTGAGATTAAATGCCAGGTCACCATCTTCTTTTTCTACTTAGGCATCTATTTCCCTGCTGCATCCTCTTCCCATGGGTGTTCTCTAAGTTATACAGTTGAGCACAGAGTGCCATGTAAACACAAATAAAATGAAAACAGGCCTGCTGTTTCAGCAGAATATGCTCGACTCACTGATCTAGAGAAGCAGCAATCAAATTATGAGGTCAAAGGATCATCCCAGAATCAAGGAGTAGGTGAAAAGAGGAGCTGGATGAAAAAGTGATTAACCAGTGAAATTGAGTCAGAACCAGGAAAACAAAAAAAAGCAAATGGTAAGAGACACCAAATGACAGATGATAACGTGAGAAGGGTATGAAATGAGTATAAAATGACCCAGTTACTATGGAAGCAGATACTATAAAAGCTTAAAAACATATTTGCAATGAAAGCAATTATTAGTGGGCAAAACTGCTCAAAGAAGCACAATTTTTAGCAGGTACCAGTATACTATGAGCCAATTTCATGAATTTGGTACTCTTTTCCAAATGTGCAAACTATGCCTCCTTGTCCGGCACAGAAGAAAGAGCACTACAACGAGGTTCAGGAGATGTGGAACTCCACCTGTCTGTGGGTTGCCACTAACTAGCAGAGTACACTTGACCTCAACTATCTCATCTGTAAAATGGATGCCTTATAATGAATTGTTGTTAAGATTAAATGGTGTTCAATCAGGTAAGATACATGGAAATGTTATAAAAATTTTTAATTTCCATACAAACACAGCAGCATATTGGTGAAATTGGGGGTAATAGCTTTTAAAAACTATTAATAGCTTTTAAAAAATATTAATGTGCTATATTCTCTTTTGCTTCCCCAAGAATATAGTATTTTCCTAGCTGGTCTAAGGCATCCATCTGTCTGAGGGGGCACAGAGGAGCAAAAGAAACACAAAGAAAAGATTAATATTTAGA